GAGCAGTCTTAACTATGGAAAGCTGGTATAACTTATACCAATATAAATCACACTGGGGTCAACTACCCCTATTCCAAACTCTCTTCAGGTGGAATTTGACTTACACCACCATTTTTGCAGGCTAAATTTTCCTGGTTTGCTATGTAACATGACTGAGATGAAAGTGGTTTGGAACAGGTGTAACTTTGTCCTGTCCTGCCATGCCCCTTTCTGAGGACTTATACCGGTGTAAATCCCACTTGCTGAGTTCTAGTTGAGCCAGGGTTGGGGATATCTTGAGCTCCACTGAGGTGAGGGACAGATCCTGAGAAAGCCCAAGATCTGCTGAATCGAAACCTTCTAATCCTGGTGAATCTTGGCTTAGGGTTGCCCAGTTATCCTCCTTTCTTGGTGCACCATGTCACTTGGCTCAAATGTTTAAAGCTTTCCATCTGCTCATAACTTTCATTCAGTGCCATTGACTCTCTGCTTATATCATGTTGTATTATGGATCGAGTAGACTAATCTGTATCAAAGCAAGGCAGGGCGGGGAACGAGCAGGTTATTGGCTGTGTCTTACAGAAGGCTGTTGGTCTAGATCAGGGCAGGTGGCTTATCCAGGGCCCTGCAAAACTTCCTTCTTCCCCAAATAAGATTCACCATAATGTGGCAGTGTAGGACTGCTAAGGGAGAAGGAATGACTTTTCTGGACTGGACGTGGCCCTTGAATCATACATTGTCTTTGATCCTTCCATCAAAGAGTACAGTATACTGCATTGACTCATGGTTTAGCTCAGCCTCTCAAACTGGTGTCTGACACCTCTTTCATGGTGGAGCGAGTCCACCGGCGTCTCTGAGATTTCATTAGCTAGCTAGGAGAGAATACAGAGAAACCGTGCCTGCAAGCAGAGCTCTCCTTATTACGATCAAAGCTTCCCAAATATGAGCAGCCCATAATGAACAGATGGCAACCTGGCTCCTGGCACCTGCAAGGCACAGCCTCAGAATGCGCTTTTGGCTGCCCACCAACCTGCAACTGCTGCTAATAGTACCGATAACACAAATAAAGGGTGCTCAGGGTGCTTTCCGCGAAAACAATAGAGGAAAACTCACAGGGCATTAAAGTAGTACGATTCAATTTGCTCTGCAAATTTGCTTTTTCTCGGCCTCTTTTGTCCTCCTGGCATTCGTGGATGGTTCCTCTCCACCCGCCACCCCCCTCTCTCCTCCCTTCTCTCCCTTGTAAATACATATTCCTGCTGGGTGGCTTGCAAAAATAAATACATTCAGAAACTCTAATGTAATTAAGAGGAAGCTAATTTTGGCAATTAGCCAGGAATGTATTAACATGCTGCGCTCAGTCTGGTCGTGGGTAGAGTGGCCCCCCTCCCCTTGCCCCCTGAAGCACTATTGCAAATGACAGAAGCCCCTCTTCTCTCTGCCCCTCCCTCCCTGGGTGTAATGACAGGCATCTCCATATGCTACCTTTTGCATTCTGTTTCATTACTCAGCACTGCTTTTATCCTAAAGAATACTAAGCCAGAGTCTTGGGAAGGAGACAAGGGGAAAAGCACGGCTGGTGTGTAGTTTCTGTGCTGTTTAATAAACAGTTGGTTGAACATTGAACATTCCTAATGCATATACAGTGGGCGCTTGGGCTGCGTACGTGATCCGTGCAGGATGCACGTTTACAACCCGCAGCCTTCGCAACCCACGTCTGCGCACACGCAGGTTGCAATTCGGCACTTCTGCGCACGCGCAAAGCGCGATTGCCGAAACCCGGAAGTAACCCATTCTGGTACTTCTGGGTTTTGGCGGTCCACAACCCAAAAAAACGCAACCTGAAGTGTCTGTAACTGTATGACTGTAAAGAAATAGAATACCAACACAATGGCAGGTGGCGAGGGATGCATTTATTTGACCTTATTTATTTATTTGAACCAGGGGCAACCCCCTAAACCAGCTAGGGAGACAGCTTGCCGGAGTTTTTAGCACCTCTGTGAACACAGCGCTTGTCAAACTGGCACCTGTTCAGGGCTGCCCCAAGTTGCCCAGTGACTTACTGTAACAAATTCATGTTGAGTTCCAGTGCCTATTTTTCTTGGGGGGGAAAGCACTGGTTCAGCCTTACCCATACCTCAAATCTGAGGTCTCCTCAGAGGTTGAACAGTGGGAGCTGGTTTCCCCCAGATCCTCGAAGATCTGTTGAACCTGGACACCAGCTTTCTGCATTCCAGACCTACTCTCAGAACCAAGCAGGAAGAAGAAACCAAGCAGCAGTTTCCAAAGTGCTCGGCCAGTTGCATGCGAGGCCACCTGAGAGGAGAGGGAAGTCCATGGAAGGACCTGCCAGATCAGGGCTGGGCTGACATGCAGGAAAGAGTAGACTGTCCAGTTTCTACATAAGGTCCCAGTCTGACCTGCTTCATTTGAGCAAGACCTCTCTTCCAAGTTCCAGCCATCCTGAACTGGGGAAATGGACAGTCTGAGAGGTCCAGGAGAGACAGAAAATGGACTTCTTAAGTATGCATACACACATATATCTGGTTTGGTTTCAGGTTTGAGGGGGATCTGGACACAGTTGACATCTGATAGGCTCTGGTATGCTTACCTGCTTGCAATGGTCTAGTTCTCAGCAGTGCTGGGCACTAATATCATAGAATCATATCATAGAATCATAGAGTTGGAACAGACCATAAGGGCCATCGAGTCCAACCCCCTGCCAAGCAGGAAACACCATCAGAGCACTCCTGACATATGGTTGTCAAGCCTCTGCTTAAAGACCTCCAAAGAAGGAGACTCCACCACACTCCTTGGCAGCAAATTCCACTGTCGAACAGCTCTTACTGTCAGGAAGTTCTTCCTAATGTTTAGGTGGAATCTTCTTTCTTGTAGTTTGGATCCATTGCTCCGTGTCCGCTTCTCTGGAGCAGCAGAAAACAACCTTTCTCCCTCCTCTATGTGACATCCTTTTATATATTTGAACATGGCTATCATATCACCCCTTAACCTCCTCTTCTCCAGGCTAAACATGCCCAGCTCCCTTAGCCGTTCCTCATAAGGCATCATTTCCAGGCCTTTGACCATTTTGGTTGCCCTCCTCTGGACACGTTCCAGTTTGTCAGTGTCCTTCTTGAACTGTGGTGCCCAGAACTGGACACAGTACTCCAGGTGAGGTCTGACCAGAGCAGAATACAGTGGCACTATTACTTCCCTTGATCTAGATGCTATACTCCTATTGATGCAGCCCAGAATTGCATTGGCTTTTTTAGCTGCCGCGTCACACTGTTGGCTCATGTCAAGTTTGTGGTCAACCAAGACTCCTAGATCCTTTTCACATGTACTGCTCTCAAGCCAGGTGTCCCCCATCTTGTATTTGTGCCCCTCTCTTTTTTTTGTCCAAGTGCAATACTTTACATTTCTCCCTGTTAAAGTTCATCTTGTTTGTTTTGGCCCAGTTCTCTAATCTGTCAAGGTCGTTTTGAAGTGTGATCCTGTCCTCTGGGGTGTTAGCCACCCCTCCCAGTTTGGTGTCATCTGCACCATATCTAGACACCTTTTAAATTTCTCACCATGCTCCAGAGTGACTGTAAGTGAGGGACAATGTGGAGAATTTAAAGGGTGGTTACTTCCAGCCACCTGGCATTGTCAGGGTGCTAGGTCAGAGAAAAGGGAGAGGGCCAGCCCCAGAAACAGCAGCCCTAGGGCTTCTGTGTGTTCATGCTGGAGAGTTCCTGGATTGCTCAGTTGGCTAGAGTGTAGTGTTGATAACACCAAGGTTGTAGGTTTGATCCCCATCTGGGACAGCTGCATATTCCTGTATTGCAGGGGGCTAGATTCAGGGTCCCTTCCAAATCTACAATTCTATGATTCTAATTATAGTTTTCATTCTGTGCATAACAACTGAAAAACTAAGAGAATCAAAGCAACTCCTTTGTTTGCCCCACAGAGAAGTCCATCCTTTGGTTCTAGGAGATACTCAGGTGTGAACATATTAGACTGGACTTTAAAGCTCAGGGACCAGGGCCCCTGAAGGACTGCCTAGCCCCTCTTCAGCCTACTTGCAAACCAAGATCTTCACTGGATCACCATCCAGTGTTACGGAGCAGGTGGCAACTGGGGAGAGGGCTTCTCGGCTGTGGTGCTCTCCTTTTTGAATGTGCTTCCCAGCTCATATCAGCACCAAATACTGTACCTTATTTCCCACGGCTGAAAACTGCTGTTGAGCTTGTCTTACTTGCTGTGTTTAAGAAGCTCACTTTGCTATTATTATTATTATTATTTTTTAATTGTACAATACAGAAATGCTTGCAAATAATTTGTATAAGATTACCATAAATTAAAAGCATCATATGTTTGTATATTGCTTTGGTATTTATCATTCCAAAACATAATGAAAACAGCTCGTTTATTCATAAATCTCTTTGGCTGATTTATATGAGTTCTCTTAAAGTAAGTTAATTTTATCATGGTTAAAACAGACCATGTTTTCTCAATCCAGTCTAATAAGGATTAGATTACTCCTTTTCCAGTTCTTGGTTATAATTATTTTTGCAGATTGATTTTGTTCTTTTAATTCTGTGTGTCACCCTGGAAACATTTATGTTGAGAAGGATGGGATATTAATTTATCAGACTAATACACATATTTTAAAACAGGAATATATTAAGGGAACTGGGAAAATAGAAACATAATCCCCTTATATGTTGTGACTGCTAAAAGTGGGGCAAAACTTCCTCTGGGTTTCAATGTTGAATCCTCTAGTCTTTTTGGAGGGCTTGATATGATCTGAAGGGCCATTTCTTATCTGAAATAAGGTTTGAGAAAGATCACACGAAAGTCATTAAGAAAGCTGGCTGTCAATGTGAAATTCTTTGACAACAAGTTTGAAATGACAGGGCAGGTCACATTTTAGAGTCTTGGGTGTCTGTTTTGCCTCATTGCTATGCTGATAGTTTACTGGTATTCTGTTTTCTTTCTTCTCCTCCGCTGCCCCCCTCCCCACTTTGTCTCTGCGACAGGGATTCGGGAAACAAGTGGATGTGTCATATATTGCCAAATATTACAACATGAGTAAAAGCAAAGTTGACAACCAGTTCTACAGCGTGGAAGTGGGTGACTCGACCTTCACAGTTCTCAAGCGCTACCAGAACTTAAAACCAATCGGCTCTGGGGCTCAGGGAATAGTTTGGTAAGTTTCTGCAGGAAGTGTTGTCCGTGCATATTTATTGATTTGCGTGTTTTCTTTCCCCTCTGGTTGTGAGTGGGTTACGCCGTCTGTTGTTCTCCATGATTTGCTACCCATGAATGTTGCTCAAGGCTATGGTAATTAGCAGGGAAACAGGAAATGACCAGAAGGCTTGGTAGGTAATATCCTACATCTCTGTGGTCCTAGTACAGCTTACCCCTAACCAGCTTTTCTTGGAGCTGGTAGGAGTGGTACCACTCAAAAACGGAGGAAGGTAAATCAATTGTGTTTGGGGAACCTAATCTGTCCCTGCCCCCCCCTTTGCAGGGGCTATATAGGGAACATGACGAATTTTCCTTACTGGAAGGAGGCATCCATGTCTTCGTTGTGAGATCAGAAAGAATTGTCCAAATGTGGACAGTCAGCCCCATTTTGAAACACATTCCTGGTCTTTTCAATAAATATTCTTACTCCTGTGAATAGCAGCAATGGATTCTCCTGCACGTGGCATGTGGAAACAGCACAGAGTATGGTTTCTCTGCAGTAGCAGTGCAAAGAGCATCTCAAGCGGAACTAGTAATTTCTCCTCCTGGTGTTCCAAAAAAGGACCTCAGATCTGCCAAGCAATAAGTCTCATCCTGTATCATTTTGAAGCTGTCAAAATTGCAAGGTTCCTGAGCTGATGTGACCATTAATCCTCTCTCACATAAAAACCAAGAAAACAAGAAAGAAACCCTGACATTTCAGTGAAAACATATGAATATCATAAGGGCAGCATTATAAAGCACGGATAGCTAATAAATCTTGCAGTGTAAATAATCAGATCTTTTGTGGTTTATGTAAGTCTTTCTTTGATTTATTGTTTGTCGCTGTATAGGTTGCCTTTTCCTTTCTCCACACTCTAGATACTGTTTTTAAATCCTTGTAGGCTTTTTTCTTCTTTTCTTGGTAGATCTCGGTTATTTTGGTTTGTGCCCCTCCCTTTCTACTGTTTCATTATAAATACCCTTGCCCATCCTGACCTCCACATCACCATTAATTTAATGGAAATGCCATGCAACTGGGAGCTATGCGACTGGGAGCTATAATAATATAAAATAATAATAAGTTATTATTTATACCCCACCCATCTGGCTGAGTTTCCCCAGCCACTCTGGGCGGCTTCCAATCAACTGTTAAAAACAATACAGCATTAAATGTTAAAAACTTCCCTAAACAGGGCTGCCTTCAGCTGTCTTTTAAAGAGAAGATAGCTGCTTATTTCCTTCACAACACAGGGGGGCGCCACTACCGAGAAGGCCCTCTGTCTGGTTCCCTGTAACCTCACTTCTCGTAATGAGGGAACTGCCAGAAGGCCCTCAGTGCTGGATCTCAGTGTCTGGGCTGAGACACTCCTTCAGGTATACAGGACCGAGGCCGTTTAGGGCTTTAAAGGTCAGCAGCAACACTTAGAATTGTGCTCGGAAACGTACTGGGAGCCAATGCAGATCTCTCAGGACTGGTGTTATGTGGTCCGGGGACCCACTCCCAGTCACCAGTCTAGCTGCCGCATTCTGGATTAATTGTAGTTTCTAGGTCACCTTCAAAGGTAGCCCCATGTAGAGCGCATTGCAGTAGTCCAAGCGGGAGATAACTAGAGCATGCACCACTCGGGCGAGACAAGTCTGCGGGCAGGTAGGGTCTCAGCCTGTGTACCAGATGGAGCTGGTAAACAGCTGTCCTGGACACAGAATTGACCTGCGCCTCCATGGACAGCTGTGAGTCCAGAATGACTCCCAGGCTGCGCACCTGGTCCTTCAGGGGCACAGTTACCCCATTCAGGGCCAGGGAATCCCCCACACCCGCCCGCCCTCTGTCTTGTCAGGATTCAACCTCAATCTGTTATGCGACTGGGAGCTATGTGACTGGGGGCCACCAAAAGGCATTGGGTTGTATCCAAAGAAGTAATCCTGTTAGTGCAGGATTTTCTGCCTGTGCGATGCCACTTTCCCACCCTCTCCTCAGGGAGTCCTCTCTCCACCCCCCACCCCTCAGATGATTGAGTCTGTAGAGTTTGAAGAAAACCCCCGGAACATCATGTGTACAATGAGTGTGTGCGCGCATGTGCCTAGCTCATGCTTGATGGCTTCCCCTTGACCTCCACAGAACATTTGTGTGGAAATCAAGGGCCCAGCCTGCAGACTTAATCCCATCTCCCCTATGGTTACCAGATTGTTTTCAATGAATTTGGAAGCTGAGTAGCAACAGGGAGCCAGTAGTGGGGGTGGCGAGGCAAAAGACCCTGGGCCCAAGCACACATGCATATTGTATGAAGGTGCAAAGTCCTTCTTTCACACCCTGTGAAACATAAATGCACAGTTTTTCAAAAAACTGAGCAATGGCGCGCCACCCACCCATGACTTCCAAGCCTTCCCCGATCTCCTTCCCCCCTTTGTTTTGACAGATCAGGGAAGGCCCAGGAGGGGCCAGCCTGGTAGCGCAGTTGGCTCTGGCTGGCTTCAGGAGCTGCTCGCTGCCCTGGCACAGGAAAAATGGCGGGTGCCATGGCAGCGAGCAGCTCCTGAAGCCAGCCAGAGCCAACTGCACCACCAGGCTGGCTCCGGGCTGCTGAGGCTGCCACTGCCCCATTTCCCGGGGACAGATTTGCAAATCTGGGGACATTCTGGGGACGGAATTTGTCTGGGGACAGATTTGCAAATCTGGAGACTGTCCCCGGGAACCGGGGACGTCTGGTAACCCTAATCTCCCCCTCTTCTTCCACCTCACACGTTGTACATGCCATGCTGGCTTTCCTGAAATTCTTTCTCCTCGTGCCCCATTTAATTCATTGCAATATGGAGGTAAATATATATAGACAGGAAAAGGCATTTGAAATGATATTGGTGGTGGTGGAAGCTCAAATCCAACCAACATGATGGCTGGTCTGCTAAATGTTGCATCTCCTCCTCCTCCTCGTCCTCATCTCCTTTTGGGGAATGACCCACCCCACAGTTGCTTAGCAACATTTGCCAGCTCAGGCTATGTGTCTCCTCTGACTGTCACCAGCTTCCTAGGGTCTTGGGCACAGAAAAAATAGAGGTGTCCTTTTATCTCCTGCTTCCTGATCCTTTTAAATGGAGATATCTGAGATTCACAGGCGGAGGAAGAGGAGTGCGGGGGGAGCGCACCACCCCTGGTAGTGCCATCCCGGGGGGTTTCCATCGTGGCTGCCCCCCCCCCCATGCTGGGCGCCATGCCCCCAGGAGGCGCGCCACGCCCCCAGGAGGCGCGCCATGCCCCTGGGGCAGCATGCCACACCCCTGGTACATGTGCCAGCCCCTCCCCCACATGCTCTCTGCCCCCCCCAGTGAAGCTCCGCCACTGCTGGGATTCCACTTGGGGGCTTCTGTGCTACAGCACAGTGTCCTTGCCCATGGGCTGGTAGAATATTGCACCGTTTCTGTCTCAGGCACTCAGCTCTAGGACTTCTTTCCCACATGCTGGCCTTCTCTTGAGCTACAGCTGCCACCTCTAGTTGAGATTCCTGCATTGCAGGGGGTTGGACTAGATGACCCTCGGAGTCCCTTTCAAGTCTACAATTCTATGACTCCAAGGGAACATTGGAGAGAAAGGGAGCAGCTTGCAGGAGTACGGCCTAAGAATCAAGTACACTGACCACTAATTATACCATCTGTTTCTTAGATGCTTGGCTGCTAAATGATCCTTCTGGCAGAGGCACCACAAATTTGTGCCCAAATAGAGAACCAAAAAAGCAGCAAATTATGTTTAGCAAAGTGCCACGTGAAAGCTTTCTACTTTTAAAAAAAACCTGCTGCTCACTGAGGCAAGAGTCCTGCCGAAACACCACAATACCCCAAATCCTGGAAGACTGGTGCAGAAATATTCAAGATCCTTTCATATACCTAAATACTACATTTTGCAGTTTAGATTCTGAACTAGGTTCTTTAGTTTGCAATGCAAACCCAACCCAACCTAATTTTTCTGACTAATAGTACTGTAACACAATCCTTTCCCTTAAAGTAGGGTGGAGAGGGGTGTGTGGAAGCCACACCGTACATTAAAAGCACACACAGCAGATATTTGAAGTACGTGACTTTCCCCCAAAGAATCTCGGGAACTGTAGTTTGTGAAGGGTACTGGGAATTGTAGCTCTTTGAGGGGGAAAGTACTGTTCCCGGGGTTCTTTGGAGGAAGTAGCACACTTTAAATGTGTGGCGGTGTTGTTGTTGTTTAGTCGTTTAGTGCTGTCCAACTCTTCGTGACCCCATGGACCAGAGCACGCCAAGCACTCCTGTCTTCCACTGCCTCCCACAGTTTGGTCAAACTCATGCTGGTAGCTTCGAGAACACTGTCCAACCATCTCGTCCTCTGTCATCCCCTTCTCCTTGTGCCCTCCATCTTTCCCAACATCAGGGTCTTTTTCAAGGAGTCTTCTCTTCTCATGAGGTGGCCAAAGTATTGGAGTCTCAGCTTCATGATCTGTCCTTCCAGTGAGCACTCAGGGACTGATTTCCTTCAGAATGGATAGGTTTGATCTTCTTGCAGTCCATGGGACTATCAAGAGTCTCCTCCAACACCATAATTCAAAACTTTAAATGTGTAGTGTGGTGCTTTCTGCATGCACTTGCATGTAGATAGATAGAAGGCATTGAGAATACAGAGCCAATGGGGCTGGCTCTATAGTCCTTGCTCAGTTCAAAATGTAAACTCATGTTGAAATTAGTTGCTGATGGTGGATTTAGCATCAGCAAGATTACCATTTGTTAACACTGACCAAGCAGTATGAAAAAGCGGTGTCCTCTGGAATAGGATAGCCTTTCTTGCTTTCTCAGTTCAGCAGTGATGCAGTTTTTGTGCCAAGAGATAGTGAACAGCTGCTTTCCTCTCCACTCATTTCTCCCACCCTCCTCCCCATTGGAAGATGATCAAATACAGTGTTGTTTGAATGGCACTGGGCATCAAGTGTTAATTGGAGCAGCTGGTTCTGGTATGTGTGTGTTGTG